AGAGTGCAAATTGTCTTAATTAAATTTTCATCATCAGATTGGTTGTTCTTGTGTTTTCTTTTAGCTGGACAATGCAATACCACTTCTGTAGAAGGTTGAGGTATGAAATAGATGATTGTTTTATTTGGAATTAAAGTAGGTATGTTTTCCTTATATAAAAGGTCTGAGTTCTCACTAGAATAATGACTCTGATCATTGATGGTTAGCTGTAGTTGCTATCTTCTAACTCCAGTTCTTCCTCCCAAAAAGCTGCTTCCTAGTGCTGCTCTTAGGTTAAAAAATATTAATTTGTATACTTAAAACAATGAGGTGCGCAAGTGGAGAATATTGGAGATTTTTTTTTCATTACTTTTAGGAGCAGGGAATTCAAAGGTTTCTTAGCTGGTGTATTCCTGTTTGCCCAGATCCAGTGTGGGGCCTGAGAGCAGTGTACAGCATAACCTGAGGACAGAAAAGCCTGGCAGCCTTGTTTCAGAGGTTGTGGGCCATGGACCTTGTGGAAGACATCTTCTCCTTTGCCAGCTCATCCGAGACTGCAGAGCAAGTCCAGCGGCCTGGCCAAGGGAGAGCCAGGGCACCAGAGCCCGCCAGGCTGAGCCAAGTCAGCAGCCAGGGCACCAGAGGGGCTGGGAACCCTGCTGTGGGCACAACTCACTGGCTGCAGAGTTGTTGCTTGCCCAGGGCTTGGATGTGGGATGTTGCAGCTGCATATGCCCTGTGTTGTGCTGCCTGACACTCAGCACCTTTCATCCTTGCCCTCAGAGCCATCTTCCCCAGGGTGCCTGGTGCCCACGTGAGTCAGCAGTGGAGTAACAGCTGGGGACCAGCTCTGTTGCTACACCTCATTGTTGGGAGAGAGGTGTGGAGAGAAAGCTGTAATTGCATTTAACATAACCCCTGTGCTCTCAAATCTACCAAATGTAAGATGGCTGTTTGTTCTTCACAACTTTATTTTTGTTATTAGAAGACAGAGGCATATTAGTTCAAATGATGAATGACTTCTTAGCTAACTGTAGGTATTGATTGCTTTCACTTTGTGACAGGTCTGAAATGCACATACTTGAGAAAATCCAAGAAGACTTTATGCACTTGACAGGCTTGACTGAATCACAGAGATCTAAGAATTTGTTCAGGAAATTAGTTCAGCTTGACATGCATTGGAAAGAGCTGCTCTTTTCATTCATGTATACAGGGCAGGATTATTAACTGAAAAACAATATCAACAACAAAAATGCAGGAGGGGATTTGTGTGAGATAGTCCTGTTTTCCTGCAAGATGTGACAGAAGCAGAAGTGTGAATGAACTACATAGAAGGGCATGTTGAACGCAGTCTGGTAATCAGTTGTGTTATATCTGACACTTATCTTGTGAGTAGGGCTGAAAGTCAAGTGCCTGCAATCAGCAGAGCAGTGTAGATGCATTTCCATTATAAGTTAAGTAGTCTAATTGTATTTGGTTGACTTTGTTGTGATATTTGAAATTTATTAGGCCATTTCCTGGCAAGCAGAACATATTATGTGATGTCTTTAAAAGTGCACATATTTTTTAAGTTAAACAAGCGCAGGTGTGACTCTTAGAGGACCTGTTAGTCCAGGCAAACCCTTGCTAACCTCTTCACCTTCTTCTTAAGATTTTAATAATGTGTTAAAAAAAAAAGGAAAAAATAAATTTATTGGGAGGGCGTGTCCACTGGGGCATTTCCGGTTGAGCTTTCTTGTTTTTTTCCTTTCTCATAAGTTTTGTTTTGTTTCCTGCCCATATCAATCTCCTGGAAATTCTTCTGGCCACCTCTGCATTTGGTGTTGCTCTTTCGCCTTCTCAGTACACATTGGAAGAGCTAATTCTATGAACAGTATTTGTAGACCATAATGATGGCAAGATTTAGAAATAACCAAATTCCTTAGAGGAAAGATTCTTTACCTGACCATAATACTATGTTAGAGGTCAACTGACAACCCCTGCTTGCTTGTGGGTTTTGGTTTTTGTTGTTTTTTGTTTTGACTGTTTGTTTTAGTACAGGCTAAGATGCTCGCTTATGCTTGTTATTGCATAAGGGGTTGTGGTCATTTGCAAAATTCTGTTTATACTGTGTTGGAAAATTAATAATTTATTTTTAATTGCTGTATCTTTCCTTTTTTTGTTGCAGCAGAAGCTTTTTTAGTGAATAAAGTATAACTGAATCCATTAGTTCAAATTTTGTGCATTTTCTCATCCATTAAATTAGTCACATTAGGTGAGATGTAGCAGGTTCTTTGTAAGGGACCTGATGCTATCTCCAGGTGAAGTTTAAAGGTAATAAGAAATGCATGGGAGTATCTGACAGGGACTTCAAAATTCCTTTAATAAAGCCTATGACGTCAGTAAAATATGGAGAAGGACAAAAATATACCAGGGAAATTGCCTTTCTTCTTAAAATGTTCTAAAATACACAAATCGTCCATATATGAATACATGAATCTGACTATAAAGGATTTAAGAGTTAATGCTTTAGATCATGCTGATTTAGACTTAGTATGCCATGTAGCATGATCCAGAGATGTTATAAATACAAAGGAATTTTTTTTTTTGGTCCAGGAGGGGAAAGAGGGATTGGAAAAGAAAGCAATGTTTTCATTAGCAGCTTTACTGTTCAGCTCTCTCACAGGCATTCTATGTCTACTTTTCATTCTAAGATGAATGGATAATTCGTTCATTGAATGGCACCAGGAGGGAGTCTCCTTATTCAAATAATATGACTGAAGTGTCAGTTTGACAAAAACTCCAGTTTTGAGTGGTGCTTAGATTTTTGTGTATGTGTTTGTTACTGCAGCATCGTTAAGCCTTGGGGACAAAGGATACGAAGGAAATATTGAAGTATTGAAGCTTCTGAGGTTCTTGAGGGAATTTGGTGCTTTGTGGCAACACGTCTGCTTGTTGTGTTACAAAAGAAAGATGGAATATGTGTTGGTGACTTGACACGAATGATTCCAGTAAATCCTGGCATCTCTTGGAAAATTGCCAAGAGATACACCAAGGCCAGGTATCCTTGCAGTGTATTAAGGTTATTGCATCTAACTGTCTCACAGAAGAGTGTGAAAACTGTAGAAAAGACTTCTCTGATTTTTGTGGTATTGATTAATTTAAATTCAGCTTCCAGAAAGTTTTAATTACTCTGCTTTGGAAATTTGCGTCTCACCTGTTGCCCCTGGGACTGTGTGGTACTTCAGTGTGTTTGGGACTAAAATTGCACCTGCTCCGTTTTCAAACTCTGAACTCGTTGTATTTTGGTGAATAACATGTAGAACAAACAAAGTCTGCCTTCAAAGTGTATTTGCTTGAGCTTCTAATCTAAACTGAGAAATATATCCTCCTCTACCAGAATGTGGTCAAGGTTGTGTCATTGCTCAACCTTGAAGATGCCAGCTTTCCCTAGCTGGCAAAATGAAGATTTCATGCTTGTTTCTAACTCTGAATCGTCCTCAGGAATTGCACCTTAAAATTCAAAACCTCTTGTACGTATACAAGATTTTAGATTCTGTTTCTAGAAATCCAACAGTTGCTAGTTTTTTCTGTCTCAAGGGCTGGCTTTTCAGGTAGGAAGGTAAAGAATGCTGTAGGAAAACATCTACTTATATCTGAAATGTTTATAAATTACTTTTCTCCTGGTAGTAAGTATGAATACCTACAAAATATTGTGACAACATAGGGATCTTTATGTGGTACAAATGAAAATATTTTTACTTGATTTTAATGAACTGTTCATAATGCTCTTCTTACTATTTGACCAATACAGCTGTCTAAACTCCGCAAATGCATATAAGAGTCCTAAGATAATGCATCAGCTCTTACTTTTAATAATTCAAACATAGGTATTTTGCTGATATATCAAAGTTTTACTTTCTCATTCCACAAATGCATATAAGAGTCCTAAGGTAATGCATCAGCTCTTACTTTTAACAATCCAAACATAGTAAAACTTTGATATATCAGCAAAATACCTTTCTCATTTGTGGGACCTGAGGGAAAGGGGAGGTTGGTTTTTGCTATAGCCTCAAAATCTGACTGATTTTTATTCACATGAAGTAAATATCTTTACTTACCTATTTGATTTAATGTGAAAGCACACAAGATTTGCTGTGTGTACTTTCACATTAAATGCCTATTTACTGTCTAAAAATGTGCAGAACTTCAGTGATGTTTTCTGAAGTCATATAGCTAAATTAAGGCAGTATCAGAAAACAGTACTACAAGGCAGGAGGTGCTTTTAACCTTTAGATTGTAATGTATAGGTCTGGTAGTTCTCCTAGTTTTCATTGGATTTTTATACTTCACCTATGAATTTTTATTTTGTTCTCATTGTCCGCTGATCAGAAGTGTTTTCTTAGAATAGAAATTCCTGGTGACATGTCAACTTTGGACTGTGTTATAAAGATAAAATTTGATGTCACAGCCTCCAGTTTTCATTGGATTTTTGTACTTCACCTATGAATTTTTATTTTGTTTTCATTGTCCACTGATCAGAAGTGTTTTCTTAGAATAGAAATTTCTTTATAACACTGTCAACTTTGGACTGTGTTATAAAGATAAAATTTGATGTCACAGCCGCAGGTTCACTGCAAGGTCTTGTTTAAGACAGATAGTGATGCTTGCTTGCTTAAGACAAGGCTCAGTAAATAGATTAGCTAGCTGTATTGCACAGCTCTAATTATAATATTATCTACAAAATCAAACTCCTCAGAGTTACAGCTACATGACAAAAGCACATTTGATACTTTTCCTGTTGGTCCAAAATGGCCCTAGAGATGCTGAGTAACAGAAGTAAAGGGTTGTGACTATAGCTTTGAACATAACTATGTACAATTTCTTCTTGCATTACAGTGCATTTCAGATGATTCTTGTTTTAAAGATATTTTTTGTGACTTGGAATATTTGGAAATTGCTAGTTAGGTAAAAAGGATAAATACAAAACTTGATCTGTATTTATAACCCTTTTATTTTTCTTTTTTTTTCTTTCTAAACAGGAATGAAAATCTGCACAGGTGCTCTCAGTGCAAGGTTGCTAAATACTGTGGTAGATCTTGTCAGGTAAGATAAAAATAACAGCTGTAAAGGGCTTAAAAAATAGGCATTTGAAGACTTTGTTTTTTACAGAGTCTCCATACCTTTTGCATGTTGAATACCTCTACACTGTAATTTATTTGTAGTTTTGGACAGGGTGGGTAAAAATGCTGGCTTGTTTTATTAGAGTATTTTTAAAGTTACAAATGTGAGATTCTGATAAGTAAAAAAGACAAAAATAAGTTGAAATGTGTGGTGTTTGACTGTAATTGGTGAGACGGGGAGGAATAATTCCTAAGCTTGTCTGTAGACTGGAATCTCTAAGTCAATTTTGCAGTAAAACAATTTGCATTTCAGGAGTACTTTTTATAATGCAAGTTCTATATTCCAGTTTTTTAAGAGGAAATACGGGTCAAGTATCTGTTGAGAAGAGAAGGTGTTAAGGAAAACCGCTTCTCTGAGGAGATTTTCAAGAAGTAAAGTGGTCCATGGCAGGAGGACAAGGGACAACAGGCTTAAGTTGAAAGACCAGAGGTTCACATGGGATATAAGGAAAAGCTCTTGACAGTCAAGAGATTTCCAGGGTGTGATCTCTGTGTTTGAGGGGTTGGAGACCCTACTGGATAAAGCTCCGAGAGATTTCCAGGGTGTTTGTGTGATCTCTGTGTTTGAGGGGTTGGAGACCCTACTGGATAAAGCTCTGAGTTGGGTCTGACCCCAGAGCTGACCCTGCTTTGCAACTAGAGCTCTCCATAGATCCATTCAGCCTGACTTATCCTGTGATTCTATCCTATGAAATACTTCTCAAAGGTGAAAAGTTCTCAAAGGCCTAAAATCTCAACTTTTATACTTGACATGATATAGAGGATTGCCTTATAGAACACTTGAAGTTTTAAATGGTTCCTCGTAGTTTTGCACTGTGATTTTTTTTCTCTTTTTTTTTTTTTAGGTGGGGGGGTGGGGGGGGTTGGTTGTAGGAGTTGTTTTTTTTTTTTTTTTTTTGTGGGGGGTGTGTGTGTATGTAATTTATTTTCCTTTTCCTAAACAGAGAAAAATAAAGATAACAAGCTACTGGTCAAAGGAGACTAGCAGTAATACTCTATAACTTTTTAAGTCAAGTCTTCGACATTCCAATGATCATGGAATGAAAGCATCATAGAATGATTAGTGTTGGAAGGGACCTTAGAGATGATCTAGTTCCATGGGCAGACACCTTCCACTAGATCAGGTTGCTTGAAGCATTGCTCAAAGCATGCCATTCAACCTGGCATCAAACACTTCCAGGGATGAAGCATCCACAGCTTCTTTGAACAACCTGTTCCAGTGCCTTACCACCCTCACAGTAAAGAAGTTCTTCCTAATGTCTAAGCTAAGTATACTCTCCATTTGAAGCCATCCCCCCTTGTCCTTCCACTACATGCCCTTGTAAACAGTCCCTGTCCAGCCCTTTTGCAGGCCCCCCGTTCAGGTACTGGAAGGCTGCTGTCTCCATAGGACAGGTGGTCCAGTTCTCTGGTCATCTTTGTAGCCCTCCTCTGGACTTGCTCCATGTTCTTCTTGTGTTGAGGGCCCCAGAGCAGAGGCAGTACTCCAGGTGGGATCTCACCAGAGTGGAGCAGAGGGGCAGAATGACTTGCCCTGCTTTGGATGCAGCCCAGGACATGTTTGGTTCTCTGGGCTGTGAGTGCCCATTGCTGGGTCATGTTGAGCTTCTTGACAACCAATACCCCCAAGTCTTTCTCCTCAGGGCTGATCTTGTCACATATCATGTGCTTCTATAAACAATTCTGCTTAAATTAATCTGTAGTGTTCTCAAGATCCCACAAATCCCTCCTTTTGGGGGTTAAAACATATGGGGAGGGAAAAGAGGAAGATCTGTCATTTTGGTTCATCGTATGGCAAATGTGTGCAACGTACATTAGGTGCTTACTGTACCATCAATAATAATGCCACAGGTAGATTTATTATGGGAGATCATAAGGAAAACATGGCTGTAAAGACTGTAAAAGACCAGAGTATTTGCAAGGTAAGTTTAAAACATGTCTTCTGGGAGAGTCATTGGTAAAGGTTCTGTTAGCAGGTCTTGAATATGAAGTGAGACTGCTGACACTGACCTGCAAAAGCAAATCTGCAAGGTGTAATGCAATGTTCAACTTAGGTGTAGAGGTAATGGAGGTAGGAACTGGAGCTTCCTCTTTGAGAAGCACAACTATGTGAACATTCTTTGAGGATTCACAAGGGATAGCCTGAAGCCATCTTGAGAGTCTTTGCTTTGTGCTGCCAGCTCTGAGGTTCACGTGCTTAAAGCCATCCATAGTTGTAGGCAGGGATTTCAGTGAGACAGGCTTCTGCTGCTAAAAGTAATCTGCACTTAACACGCTGTGTATTGGCAGTTACATAATTTCTTGAACTGTTTATATAAATAAATTAATATTTAATTAATATATGTATATCCTGTGATATTAGGTAGCGATAGAGAATAACAGGAAAAAAAATTCTTTTGTAGTCAAAGCAGTGAATTTATTGGGATTGATGACTTGAAACAGGTGATGCAGATAAAACTGAGACCAGCCAGATCTCTCTGCTCTTGAGAGCTGTCCTCTGATTCGTATTTGTTCTAATAAGCCAGCTAAACCATCATGCTGCTCCAGTTTTATAGCAGCTGTTAGGAAAGCTAAACCAAATGCTTTGTGCCCTACTTAGCCTCAGTAGCTTAAGTGCAATTCATTAATATGTGCACTTCTAATTGAACTAATTGGTCAACAAATAAACAGCAGGGTATTGATGAAACTGCATTTTGCACATTTAAAAAAGTGAATATTGGCAAAACAGGACTATTTTAGTTTTTTAAATACAGATAACTTTGAAGTGCAAATTATGCAGTTGAATTTGCAGTTCACACTTAGTTGCAGAAGGATTTAATTATTTTTGAATGTGTGATATTGCAACTCAAAACACTTACGCTTAAAACTTGTAATTTTCCTGGAGTTTTGTAATTAATACATTGTATGAAAATAGAATTAACAAAAAAATCTGACTTTAAAAAGTTTAATCTCAGTAGGTGTACTGGGTCTAGAATAATGGTGGATTTTGTGAAAAAAACTTCAATGTAAATACAACAGGGGATTTATATTTCAGAGTGTACTAAAATGAGCCATTTTTAAGCTGCAAATATCTTATAAACATCTTGTTTTAAAATGTCAAGTGATACAAAAAACTATCTTCAGGCTAACCTTAAGGAGAAGAAATAGTCTTTGAAAATCTCTCTCTTTTTGTAACTTACAGTGAGAATAGTTATCTTTTAAGGGAATATGTATGCAGAGCCGGTAGTCCTGAAAAAAAACTATAAACAAATCAGAATACCTGTTTTTTTACAAATCTCCGTAATATCTATTTTAAAGATTATGAGTGAGTTGTTCCAAATTTAAAAAATCCCATTAGTTTTCTTTTTCAGGCTAGTTGAATCAAGCTGTTTTCACTTTTACCACTTTAATTTTATTTAAAAAGTACTAGAAATGTGAAACTGGAACTTATCACAAGAGATCCTTTGGGCTGACCTTTTGCAACTGAACTCTGATTTCAGGATCAAGTACGTATAGATTTTTTGCTTTTAATTTTTTTTCAGTCAGACCTCATTGGTTTTTGCCCCTATTTGGCATTTCCCTGTTGCAGCCCCTTTGCCACTTGTTGATGCCTAATTTCATGGGTTGCCTGCCTTTTAGCAATGTTATGTTGGCTGGGTGTCTCTCCAAAGGTAGGATTATCCCATCTGGTGCTCCTCATAATCACTGTTGTTATCACCCCTGGCTATGTTTATTTATGTGGTGTATCCCATAAATTGGAGACCAATGATATAGATGATAATCCCTGAAAAATGGAACAGCAATTTCAGGCAGAATTCTGAATGTGATAATATCAAACATTATTGAACTAATGCAATAAAAGTAAAAAGACATTCTGGGAAAATTTAAACAGTCATTTGGAAATTACAGATTATTTGCTTTTAACAGATCAAAACCTTTGTCTTTAACAGTTTTTTATTAGCACATTAATCTGCAGGAAGCATTCATTTTTTGTGATCTTGCATAGAAGACAAGGGAAACCTTTGTTTCATCAACATTGCTTTAGGATCTTTGTACATTCAGGCTCCAAAGGGAGACAGCAATAGCTTATGTCTGTGAAAGAATGGATGTGCATTGGCAAGATCGCTCAGCTGAAAATGTGCAAGACATTGCAGGCATTTGTGAGGGGTCTTTGGCAGCAGGAGGTGATCCTGGCTTGTGCAGGGAGGTGTTGGAGTTGGTCTGGTGCTGGTTCAGTGGGCAGACTCTCAAGCTGCCACCAGTAAAGAGCTCTATGCTTCAGAATCTCTGTGGCCAGGTGGGTGCTGACCATTTTCCCTTGGATGAAGCCTGAGGATTTGCACTTGGGATGCATTGAGATTGAAGGAGAGACATGCTTTGGGAGAAGATAAACAGAAAGATATTCTTTCCAAGTTCCTAAGTGTAGTGAAACCTTGAGGAGGAGGGTTTTGCCCTGTATTGTTCACTTGCCTTTCTTTACCTCCTTCTATTAGTGTTCATTTCTAACAGGGGAAAAGAAATCTTTGCAAAACTGGAAGACCTTCCCTGGCATGGAGGAGAAGGATCATACCAGGTGGCCATTTCTCTGCACTGCAGTGTTTATACTTGTGCTGGATACAGAATATAAAAATCTTTACTGAAAGCCAGGGTACACAGAATTAAGAAAACTCTCCCACCAGAAACATGGGACTAACATAAGTCCAACCAATAAGTATTGTTAGAGACTGACTTTAACAGTAGGTCTCTCCAGGGTCGCAAATCTTTGTTTTCATATTGTCCTGTAATTTGTATCCATGTTGTATGGATAGTAAGAAGAAATATTGTTGAATTTCATTATATTTAATGCATTTGGAGCTTTCCTCTCTCTCCCTGACCATTTGGGAATAAGTGACTGGCAATCCCTATTCTATTCTAGCTCCTTCTGCAGAGGAATCAGTGATTCCCTTTTAGCATCAGTTTTGGCCAAAGAGCTTTTTCATGAAAGGTGTGTATTTGAACTACTCTTATCACATGGGAATGCTCACAAAGAAACATGGCATGTGATGCTATGTGGTCCAGAATATTTCATCTCATTAGAGCTGTATTGGTTGGGTAAGTTATTAATCATTTTGATGTCACCTCTAGCATGTTTAAAATTCTGTGCAACATTTATGTAGAGGAAAAAAATTGACAGTAAAGGCTTACTCCTAGGAACACTTTTAGTTTAAGTTGGATAAAAATGCCAATATAATTATATTACACAGAACAATGTCTGGACATTTCCAAGCATGACTTTGTTTTTTCTAGACAAGGATAATTCTATTCAGCACTAAATACTTAACTTTTATTTGCCAGACAGCATGTGACACTAACTGTATTTGGATTAATGCCTTCTTGGTGTAATTTTTTCTCCTTGTAGAGTTATGGGTAAAAGAAATGAAATTACAAATCTCTCATGTATCTGAAAGAAATAAAAACTTCCATTTATTTATTACATGTAAGCCACAGGGGAAAAAATCCTGAATTAAATATAATAAATTCTACTGGTGCTGAAACCTAGTTACCTGAAACAATTCCCTCACTTAAATGCAGCTTAGGAAAAAATTGTGTGATTGCCTTTGGAATCTTTATAACTTGCATGTCAGCATCTCCAGGTCTGATGTGCCCTTACACATAGCTCTGCCATTTAATCTTTTTTTTTTAATTGCTGAACATGTACCTAACATTAGACAATCATTTTCTCTGTGACACTCACCTAGCAGAAACTGGTCTTCTGGGTTCATGTTTTTTTCCCTTACTCAAATTTGTAAGAAAATGTCACCTTCAGGAGACCTTGGTTCTGAGTACTTGTCATTATAACAATTTTTGTCGTGCCCTGTTCTTTTAATTTGCTTTTAAAACTATTTGAAACAGCTGTGTAGCTTCAAACATGAACTGTGAATATGCAAATAAAATGTATAAATATGTAGTATGTTAGATTTTTTTTTGTATATTATAAGCAGAATTTTCTGCTTGTAGAGACAGAAGACAGGAAGAAAAAGTGATCAAAGATTTTCTTCCAACATATTTCTTTAGCTGAAGACTCATTCTTGCTGCTTTTCTGCACTAATCTTGGGGCAACAATGAATGGTAGGGGAAAAAAGAGATATTTCAATATTTCCTTTATCTTATCATCCCAACTCTTCCCTGCTATGGAAGTGTTAGTCTGTCTCTGCTATTCTAATCAAAGTACTGAAACCTTGAGGATCAATCAAAGTGGCCCGTGAAGCAAAATTTCAGGTTTGGGTAATATATGTAAATAAAATATTTTTGGTTCTGTCTTCTGTTTTGGTATCAGTGACCACTCCTGGTCTGAACTGTGAAAAATACCACTACCAGTCCTTCCAGCTGTGGGCATTGATATCTCATCAGCTCAGGGATATTTGGGGACAGTTTTTGCAGGACAGAACACTTGACCACTGCATTAGACCAGCTGCATTTAGTGCAGTGAATGGACTCTGAAGGCCTCTGCAGTCTTGACTGCTGAGTGAACACGTGCCTAGAGTTTTGTGTGTGTTGGATAGCATCCTCTCTAGCATCCTCCAATGTTATGAAGTAAGCAGCTACATACTGTTGCTGCTTCATGCCACAACAAATGAGAATTAGTGCATATTTTTGGAGCATGTTTCTGTGCATATATAACTATAGATAATTATATATATAATATGTATGTATGTATAAAAAATGTAGGATACAGGTTATGTAAAATAAAATGCACTTAATTTTGTTATTCTTCCTCTTTAATATATCCCAATAGAAAGAAGCTTGGCTGGACCACAAGCAGGAATGCAAGTGTCTTAAGAACATTGAGCCCAATTTTCCTCCAGACTCTGTCAGACTTGCTGGAAGGATTGTTTTTAAACTAGTAAGTGATATTCTTTTAGATTGATTCAGGGCAGCAAATTCTGATAAATGCTTTCTCACTCTACATTTTTAATGCAATTATGAACTACAAGGCTGAAGTGAGTGGGAGTGCTGAAAAAAATTAGACTGTAAATTGCATTACAAGTTTACTGATTAATTTGCAGAAAGGCTGAAAGGATCAAGAAATTCCAAAACAGACATAACTAAGCTCGAGGGATGTGTTTATTGACTTTCTTTTCCTATGGCTATGTGGTAGAATCTAAGCTTATTCCTGCCTGGAAGAAAAACATGGAGAGACACTCTTTGCCCTTCAATACTACTGAAGTTATTGGTGCTCTTCTGTTAACCTGATGGAGACCTCATTAGGTGTTGTTTGAATGAGTGGTAAGGGCAGAAGCACTGGTAGCTAGCCCTTTCTTTAGAGGGCATAGTGCCATGCTTTCCATGTTGGGTTCTCATAATCTCAATTACCTTTTTCAACGTTTGACTTTTTCTAAACTCTCTTGGAAGTCCTGGGTGTTTGACATTCCCACAGTTTGATTACTTTATATGGACTAAATTTTCTGACAGTTCAAGCAGCTTATAGATGTGTGGGATTGTAAATCATATTTTTTGCTGAACCTGCTATGATGCTGTCTGTGTTGGATGAAAGTGCAGGCCTTTGTTGTGGCTGATGTGATAAAATATGATTTCACACTTATTTTATACATTGTTGTGAAGAGTTTGTGCATGATACTTTTTAAAGGGCAAATATGTACCTAGCAATACTGTGCATTAATTCTAGTCATATGAACTCTGAAACTACAAACCTCATAATCTGATTTCAATTATGTTCTAAAGGGCTAAAGTACGTTACTAAAGGTAAGCTGCCAAAGCGTTAAAAAAATTCAAAATGAGTAGAAAGTCTTATAACAACAAAGAAATTAAGTTTTTTAGAATAGTTCATGTAAAGTCCTGGATTTATGTTGATGCTGTTGGCCTTACCTGATTATCTGATGCATTTATCACACAGAATAATCAGTCATGTAGAGTGTTTGCAGGATAAAACTATGCTATGTGAGTGTTAATTATCTGTTTTTGCTCTACAGCTCAGACAATCAGTATGCCCTTCTGAGAAACTGTACTCTTTTTCCGATCTTCAGTCAAGTAAGTAATTGCCAGCCAGATTTCAGGAAGCTCTTCCCAGGTCTGCTTTATGAAAGGGCCATCTGATTTTCTTGCAGCTTGCCTTCTGAAGGTTTGCTCTGTGGAATAACAGAATCAAAGATAAAAACCTCTGTGGAAAAGAAGAGTTATTTCAAAGATAAAAGGAAAAACATGCCTGTTTTCTTGAAGCAAAACCTTCCTGATATTTTTGCTTTAGTATTTTTATTTTTGCATTTTACAATGAAAATCTTGCTTGCTCATTTTTTAATTTACCCAGTGTCTGCCTTACTACATACAGTGTGAATATTTCTACATACATATACAATAGTACATATATTTTACTAGGGTTTTACTTTTTTAATACTTATGTGCTATTGCATAAAGCTTCAAAATAGACTCCAGAAATAGGAAAGTTAAATTTAAAAGGGATATGTATATATTTTTCTTGTACATGACCTTTCAATAGAGAAAAAAAATGAAATTGTGCAGTTACTACTTTTGTGGCTTCAGAAGTTTCTACTGTTTGGGTAGAAAAAGATGCTCATTACAATCTCTCAGCAGAGCAAATGTTAAAATAGGAAACTTTTTTTTTCATATTTTGTGGCATCTTGAAGACTTAGAGGGAAATAGATTCTTGGTTCATTTTTGCATCTTGCTTAGAGGGATTTGCTGGACAGTAATGTGAATATATTGATTACCTCAATGTTTTAGTATTATTCAGAGTTTTGGCTACAAACCAGTTTGATCAGTTGGTACAGTTAGAAATAAAACCTGTAGAAACATAAAAAATGCAACACATAATGTTAATTTTACTTCTGAACACCCTGACATTCTGTTGCCTTGTCCCAAAGTGCAAGGACAAAATACCTTAACAAGGCAGCAAATTAAAATGGATAGATTTCAGTTATTTAAAACACAGTGATTTTCTGCAATAGATATTCTCAATTCATGTAACAAAGGTTTATGGAAAACAGATGCTTCAAATTAAGTTAAAATTATAAAATTAAGTAGACTATGGACTTTTATGCTTCATTACACTGCTAGGATCCAAGGAAAGAGTCTTTATTATACCAATGGCTGATTGAAGAGTGCTGCAGGAGGAACTGGACAGGAAGAGTCTCCCTTTAAAAATTAAATATTGATCACTTATACAGCAGTTGTCTCTAGTGTAGGCAAAGATTGTTTTGTAACTGATTGTTCCATACAAACTGGTTTCTCAGTACCCTTCAGGAGATGTTCTCAGCTTTCTTGACTTGACTGGAGACAAGGGGAATAGTGTGATAAGTTGTCTGGAGAGAAGCTTGGTGTTGAACAGGCCTGAGCTGCAATGAATAAAGGGTACAAAAGTCTGTAGAGTGGCCAGAAGCTTCTGCTAAAATTCTAATTCTGAAGGAAATGGTGATATGGCCTGTGATACAGATGGGATGACTGTCCTCTCACTGATACAGAAATAACTGATACATAGCCAGTTAGTTCAGGAGAAGACAAATGAGAGATCCACATGTAGTGTTTCATCTGTACTTACTCTGAGTCTTAATAACAATTCCTGTGGAATCTTCTTAACTCCACAGCACCAAGAGTTTAGGACATTAACACATTAACTGAGGCCACAGTACCAATGGCCTATGCATAATCTTATGTAAAGGTTTTGGCTGTCTCTTTACTTGTGTTTTCCTGGCTTCCTTGTTAGAGTGAATAGATGGTCCCTATGGTTTTGGAGTTAAAAAAATCTGAAAGTGTTTTAGGTTGGTGTGAGAACTTCTGGTGGCTGTGATTTTTTTTTTGCTGCCTCTGTATGCTCCAAAAGCTTCAGTTATTTCATAACAATTTCCCTGTTTGCTGCACAGTTTATGAATTGTGTTGATAAAGCTTTTGTTTCTTTGTGTACATAGTGGAATCTCTAGGAAAATCAGAAATGCATTTTCATTAGAGGCTTACGTATATAGGAGAAAAGATTTCTTTTAATAGAACCACATGAACTATAAATACAGGCTGTAATCCAAAATAAAAATATTCTCAGGGAGCATTTTTGTAACAGAAGATAATGTTTCAACACTAATTAGAAATGTGACAGAATTCTCATTGGTACTCTTTCAATCTTTTTTTTTGGGTTCCCCCCCCGCTTCTAATTCCAAAATATCTTATTTTTGAAAATTGTTCTTGACACTATGCTGTCTCATTTTGCTTTACACTATTACTTTTCAACACTACTTTATACTGTTGGTTGATTTTTAGTGCAGGAGACATATAAACTGAATGGAAGTGTATAAAGTTTTATACACTTTTTGAATAGTTATCTGCTAAAATGTATAATACATGAAAAATCACAAAGCATGTGGAGGCATCCAGCCCTTTATGAAGTTCTTTTCCAATCTCCATAGTTCCTGGAAATTCCTTTATATATTCTGAAACTCAGATTAAGTAGGAGGGGTCTCTCTGAGCATTGTTACTTTTGCTAGTTCTCATTTATCTTAAGACAATTCCTTCCTTCCTTAGTTCTCTGAGCTATCTGTATGTTACAGCAATTCAGAAATCATCTTTGTTTTTACTTACCAGGATTCAGTGTTCAGAAAACAGTTTGTGTGCTGTATTATGGGGCACATATTTTGCTACTTTAATTGTGTAAGAATCAGTGTTACATAACTAAATCCCCACACCTTGTTTAGCAGTTTTTTCTAGGCCTTTTGTTGCATTTTGTTTCCCACATCAGGTTTCTGAAATGAGTGAAAAAAAGTTTCTTAAAAACAAAAATTGAAAACATACACAAATTTAATTTCATTTTGCTTTTGGTCTTTTTTAAAATGTGCTTGGAAAACCAGGTCTTGATCATTTTCCATTAAGGTTCCCATGGGATTTTTTTTCTGGATCATTAGCTCTGATGTCCTGGACGGATTCCAGTGTGGATAATTGCATTCTGCTTCCATCTCTATCAGTTCTCCCTGAAGTTCCAGTTGGTTTTCGTATTCATGTTCACATCTGTCCTAAGCTACAATGTCCATTTGTAACACGCTTCTTATATGATTTCACTTCTTTAGTCTAGGGTTGTTATATTTGCCAACAGTGAAACAAACCATGCCTTCCTCTCTTTGTTATAATATATTTTGTAATGTATTGTAGATAGTTTAAGGTAAATCACATGTTGTCTTGATTAATTACATTTGAAGGAAAAAGTATTTTTGTTTCCAAAGGAATATTTTATAAGAAAATGCAAGTGCGTGTTCATAATTTTTCTTTTATATTTTTAAAACTTGCTTGTTTCAGTCATCTAAAAGTTTGCTGCTTGTCTTGAAGACACAGTTCTCATAGATACTATATTTTTCTGTACCAGAGATTTTACATTATGAAAAACATACGTGTCTGGATTTCTAACACTTACATTCATTTATGCTTACAAAATCACCTGCAAACATCCACACTGTTAATTGCACTTGGATAGTGCTGTGAGCATCTATAGATGTTTATAATGAAATAACAATTCACCATTATGCAGAGATAAAATTGATTCGTAGTGCATCATAAATCTCTGCCTTTTGTTATAGACTGGTGTTTGAATCTGTTCTGCTTTACGTTCTCCATTTTGTACTAACTGGTAGGAAAAAGAAAATGTGAAGCAGGTAGTCAGGCAGTGAACTTGCTAGAGCAGGAGCAGTTCCACTTCCAGTGTTATCAGAGACCTGATGCATGCATAATCACTTAATTAGAAAATGAGGCACTGTGATTCTTTCTGCTTCAGGATTTGTATCTGAAAAACATGAATAGTGGTACTTTATAATAAAGTGATATTTATTATTATTTTTTCATATTCATTGTTTACCAGTTCCTCTGTATGAAACTCCTTTTGTTCATAAATGCTTTTCTGTTTCATCTGTTAGCATAAAGTGTTTCTGACACATCTATGGAGAATGCAGTATAAAAATATGTACTGCTGCATAAAGTTCCAAACATATTTCTAATGTGGTTAATGTTACAAACCCAGATGCCTAATTTTTGTATGTAATGTCTTACATCTGCTTACACATCTGCTTTATCTATTGGCTTTTGATCTTTAACTTGCTGTCACATTCATATGATTTGGCAGTAGCAACCTGATAAACTCTACTGTGTGTTGATAGGTAACTGTCATGAAAAATGAGAAATGTCTGCCCTCTGTCAAAACTGCCCTCTGTCAAGATTAATTCCTGGACTGGAAATGTCTAGACTGTATGGCTGCCATTGGATGTTTTCAAAATGTTGGTGAAATGTTCTGTTTATGACATGGTCTACTTTTTTTCCATTTCCCAATAAGACACTGAACGACTAAGTGAAGAAATGAAAGATGGCCTCAGGCACCTTGCACAGACTTTGCAACTGTATTTGAAAACTGAGATCCAGGATGAGTCTCAATTGCCACCTGCAATTGACTTTTTTCAGATCTTCACAAAAGTAAGTGTTAAAATCTGGTTTCTTGACAACTCATAAATTATCTTTTCCTCATGTTCACGATTTATTTCTGAGTGGGAGTTCAGTAGATACATTCAGAATGTGATATATGACAAAGTGAATTCAAACTACTTTTTTATTCAGTCAGTATTTAAGTAGAATTATAACTTTAATATAATTGCAACATTTCAAAATTAAAGCAGTAGCCAGAGGATATTTTTTCTTTTCCTTTTTAAAAATTATCATGTTAAAGTTGTTGGGTGAGAAAAAAGCCAAGAAAGTTCAAGTATAATTGAGTCAATCATCCTGAGTAATTTTTTCACAGTAATGAAGAGCATACTCTTCAGCCTAACATTTTTCTGCAAAGTGAAATATATTTGCAGATATCCTTCCATCCCACTTTGTCATTTAGAGGTATATGCTAGTGTTTGTGATAGTACTGTATCCTACAAGCTGCTTTTTTCTAGAGGTCTTGTGGATTATTTATTGCTAAAGGTGACATATAAAGTATTTAAAATTTAATTCCACAGTATGTAAAATGTTTATTGTGTTACTAACTAAATATTGTTCGCTTTTGGTGTAGATATTTTATTACTTTCAATTCAGGAAGGTAGATTCAAACAATGATAGCAGAAATATTTAAATGAAGGGTACTCATAGTTTTAACTCAATTTAATTTTTTGATTTCTAATTGATTGATAAATTCTGCCATAAGATTTATCTTATTTATCTTTTGGTTATTTTAGTGTGTATTCTTATGAAGTAAGTCGAAGTAGAACATTGTTTTTTCTGCTATAAATAAGGAAAGAACCTGTTTGGGAGAAATTAAATAAAAATTCTGTAAATTTTTTTTTTAACATTTAAAATAAGTCTTTGCACAGTTAAAAACCCTTTTTTTTTTCCCCTGTGGACAGGAACAGGAGCAATTTAATCAACTGTGTTGTTTTTCTGGATTGTTTTTTATTGGTGGTTAGACTGCTGTGATGCAAAATTGCAATTTTACCTGAAAAATCACACAGTCTGAAATAGACCCAGTCCAAAGGGTGCATAGATAAAACCCTTTACTATCTCATCTCCAATCAAGCTGTTTTATTGTCTTGTGTTGGCATGCTGGTTTGGCCTAAGCTTTGTCAGTGGCATTTCACATGAAACATGCACGTTGTGTTATCTGGTGTAGAGAGTTTGTGCAGCTGAAGATAAAACTGATTATCAGAAGATAATCACTGTCTACTCAGCTTGAACTGAGTTGCAGCTTGTATGAAGTTCTTTCCAAATGTTTAATAATAAGCTTAAGACGGAGAATGGCCATGTGATCACTGCCTACTCAGTTTGAACTGAGTTGCAGCTTGTAAGAAGTTCTTTCCAAATGTTTTTGCCTTCTATGTAATAATAAGCTTAAGACGGAGAATGGCCATGTGGCTTTCAGAAACAGTGTGATGACTGCTAAACACATTGGAACAGTGGTGAAGAAAGTGCAGAATGTTTTTAATTTTTGTATGTACACACATGCACAAGCATGTGCACATATGCGCACCTCCTCTCCACTCCCATGTATTTTACCATGGTGATGTAAGTGGCCGTCAAGGGCAGAGTGAAAGCCAAGACTTCCCAGCTCCATATTTTGTAAACTGGAGAACTGGGAATGCTTCTGTTAATGACAACATTTATCCTACTGTAGCTTTGGTGTCACAAAGATATTTTTTATAAGTTGACTGTGACTTTTTCCCCACTATGTTGAATGTATGGAAAAGTGCTGTTTTTAGTTGTTGTTTTTGGTTGGGGATTTTTTTGTCTATTAAACTAGGGCTCATTTCCTTCTTTTGATGGTTTTGCTTAGTCTGTGTGATAGTCTGCTCTGGGAAAATGGAGAGCAAATGACATAGACCTGTCATGTGTACACATACTTGATATTATTAATACTGAAAAGAACTGGCAGAAGGGATAGGAGAATCTGACTGGACAGGTGAGTGGTTGGGAGAAAAGAGCAGTCAACAGCCACGTGCTTTACATGAGTAAAATTGGTATCTTTTTCAGAGTTCAGTCAAGCACAACTGTCAAGCTTTTTGTAAGACCTTGTCACTTTCTAATTTTCTACTGGCATTTTACGTCTTTCCCAATTTGGTTTTCAAATGAGTTTGTTATGAGTGTGATATTGTATTAAAATATTAATTTAGTATTTCCCTATCCCTAGGGAGGTAGCAGCAGACATTTTCTGCCATTCCCATGGAATGTTCTTTGGAAGATAAGCTGGATGTCCATGAATTTTTTTTTTTTTTAAGCTGAGTATGGATGCTTATTCTCAGCAGGTAAAATATAAGACTTTGGAACTGTAAAGTCTCTGATAAGACTTTGGCACTCTCTTCTCTGTAGTGTAACTCTAAAGAAGACCAGCTGTGATGACTTCCCTGTGTGGTCAATAGAATAAAGAAATACTACAGATACATAACTTCAAGATGTAATCTTGTTTTCCCAATCGCTTCCAACATTCCTTTCAAGTTCAGTAGGTGCTTATTCGAACATTGAACTTTTTTGGATCAGTTCTTTCATTGCATGCCACAAAAAGATCCAGTCAAAGGTCATTTTTTATTCTGTTTGATGCTGGATTCTCAAGAAGGAAAATAAACAGACTGCCAGACAAAAGAGAAAAATTATCCTGTGGTGAGGTGACTATATTCCAGATGGTTCTTGGAAAATCTCTAAGTTTAGGTCAAAAGAGCTTCTCAGAAGCTCTTTTAAACAGTCCTCCTTCTCTGCTGTCCACTGCTCTTGTCTTTGTGAAAATTAATTATAGTTTTATTCACTTGCTTGTGATGCTTAATAGGCAGAGAATCCCTCTGAATGTGCAATTGTAGAAACTGCCCATTTAAAATCAAAGAACATTTTGCCATTTCTTTCCATGGGGGCAGAATTTCACCCCAATGTATTTTTAGTTTGCATGAGATCTGTGGAAAATACCAGCTGTACTGGATGGGGAGGTGTTTCAGAAGGGATATGCACCTTTCTTTCTGACAGTGTTGCCCTGTCCTTACTAGATAATTTGCTTTTGTATCAACTGTCCTTTAAGCTGGAGTTGAATTTTCTCATTTTTGTTATCTGATCACTTTTTGCAAGCTTCAGTTTATTTAACGTGCCATTTATCAAGGTTGTGACTGTTTTAAAATTCTGATCCTCAGTATTAAACAGAATTATCTGCAGCTAATTACGTGGTAAGGCTTTAACTCCACTGAGACATTTTCTAATGTCAAGATAAATTTTTGACAGCGTGGTTTTATGGTTTAATGATGTTTCCATAACCTTGAGATAAAAATCAGTCCTTGCTTTTTATTCTTCAGCTTTTACTTACATGTGTGAGGAGGTGGCCTGGAGTCCTTTGAGACATTTAATGGATGCAGGATAAAGAATAAAATTCTTGTATACATTTATGGTTCTTTTAATACTATCAGACAGAACAATGTGAACCTCTTTAAGACATTGGATAAACTCTGTACCTATCATAAACCTGTGACTGACTCTACTGACAGGAATCAGGCCTAAGATGACTTCTTTTAGACCAAATATAGGCTTGGTGTTTTACATAGAAGTGCAGCTACTCATACTGTGACAGTATACACTTTTTGTGCATTTTGAAACAGTTTGAAAATTTATTTTCCAATTAATGAGAAATAAGAGATTCTGATGTATGTTAGTATGATAGCCATTTTAAAGATCTCCTAATTTCAGCTCCTCACATTTATAAGAATTATAAAGTATAGGCCACCTCTACCTTAACTAGGAGTAAGATAAAATCCAGTTACAATTAATGAACTGCTACAAGGAGACTTCTAGGTCAGTTTAGTAAACTTAAACCAGAATTTTATTGGAAAGAAGTTTTCTAGAGGATATTTTGATGAAACTATTCATAAACTTTTTGGGAAAGGATGCTGAATTGAAGATGTTAGGGATCCCCATATGATGCCATTTTGGGTTTTGCCTTTTTTTACCTTTTATATGTTCTCTATATTTTTCACACACATATTTGTAGCTCTGTAGCCTATTTTATTGGTGGCAAGTTATCCCTGTAATTTTCCATGGCCTTTCCCTAAGCAGAAAGACAAAACAAATTCCAGAGCTCCAAGCCCTGGGAGGTACAAGGCCCCAGTGCTATCTTGGTTCTTGCTGGGAACCAAGGCCAAGAATGACTCTTTGAGATGCATTCTCGTGGACAAAGCACAGCTAGTGCTGAAGGGGGGGCTCCAGAGAAGGGGCTTGACCTGGAGGGGAAATTGAATCACCACTTGTCCTCCTAAGTGCTTTTTATCAATTATGCTACTTTTCTAAAACCTATAAATATGTACTCATCCATATGTGGCCTTTTGTGGACATCTTTCCATAACTGCCCCTGGAGGCCTTCAAATAAAGATCCTCTTTTATGTTGCCTTCCTACTAAAATTCTCTTGAGTTTCATTTCCAAGTTGGGAAAAAGGCAACACATAGAGCAGAGATGATACCCTGAAATAGCAGTCTCCCTAACTCTTCTGTTGTGCAAAATTTCATTTCTGGACAGTATTTTAACCACATGTGGGATGATAGGAATGAGACAAAGAATTTTTAGCTTTCTGAAATTTTCAATCTTTCCTGCAGTTCCAATCTTGACACCTTTTTGTTATGAACAGATTCTACCTTGAAAGTAGGTGTGCTGCATTCTTTTAGTTCACTGGAGAGGTCACACACCTGTATATGTGGGAGGTGAGTAGTCCTTAATACAGGTCGTGGATGTGCTGCTCACCACTATCTTCTCAGGTGCTGTTCTACTCTTTCCTTTTCAGGTCAGTTTAGAATTGACACAGACCAAAGAGTAAAAACAGGTCTGAATGACTGTAGAGCTGTAAGTCTAGGGTAGTGCAAAAAGAAGTATCTGTATGTGTTAGAAACGTGTGCAATTTTATATGTCAGATTAATTTATTTTCATCTCAATTTTTTGAGGTTTGTGAAATTGACATAAGAGTGAAGAAGAGATGCAAGTT